AAAAAAAAAAAAAAAAAAAAAAAGAGAGAGAAGCCCAGTGTGAATGCTCAATGGCATATACCTGAAATGAAGTCCAGAACATTTTGCTTTACCAACTCAGTCACTTTCACATTTAGAGGAACGTAAAACATACTCCCATCTTCTTTCTTTCTCAGATTGCCCGTTCCTCTCAATCTACCACACAGCATGCAAGATAAGAGAGTCATTTTAGCCCTCAAAGTTCTTTTTTTTTTTGCATTATATTTAAATGCTCATTTTAATCAAAAACATTACTTTCGAATAGAGAAAGCATTCCATAGAAGGTGACTGTCTCATTAGTGATACCACTATTTTCTCTGGACTACCGTATAGAAAATGACAGTATAACATGCTATCGCTCCACTTCAAATTACAAGTTTACAGGTGCTTAACTGTTATTTCTTTGAGTACTCTCCCTGGAGTCCAGTCAGGCATAGGTGTGAGTGTTTGCAGAATCAAGACCCATACCGATAAAATCCCAAAGATGGAGTCTTACAAATTTACCCCAGGTGAAATCTAATATGAACCATGGAAGAGAAAGGTTACTACCTTCGACACCACGCTGCAATGCATGACAGTCATGTTGTAACCAGTGGCCTGCCACTGATGTTTATTACTGTGTCACACTAGTTACAGTAAGGCTAATTGTACTGTAGAAGACAAACATCTTAAAAAATAAGTATAAAAACTTAAAGCATTGTCCCCGTGTTTTTATAAAAACAAAATCAACATTTCTTACATTTAAAATGAGTGCTGAAAGATACAAATGAATAAAGTTACTGAGCAAATAAAAATGTTATCTGAGCTACGTTTTCATACAAATAAGGCTCAGCCACATTGTATCTCTTGTATTAACAGCATTGGGTTTTTCAATCTCAGCTAACGAGTTTTGGCAACACTGTTCTTTGCTGAATATTCCCGTTGGCATCTGTCATCTGTGCCAAATTAGTCCTCAGTTTTGAAGCTGAGCTTGAAGTCGGAGGTAACTTGGAAATCGACGTTATAGCACCAGTGCTCTCTGTAATTCTCTTCGCCGAGGCCTTTTCCCCAGTCGGAGGCTTTGGCAACCGTCTCCTTAGCCAGGGATGCCGCAAAGCCTGGCTGGGTGTCATACGGCTCGCAGGATCCCATTCTAAACACTGTTTTAAGAAGTCAAGGAACAGGGGATCATCACATCCCTTTAATGCATTTCCCCATTCTCTGCTCTCTGGTGGGCCACGTAGTTTTCCCCTCCGAGAGCGTCCACCATTGAGTATTACAGAGCCATCAGACAAGGTTGTGATGCTGCAATAGCGGGGATAACCCTTAGAGCTCACGAAGTTTTTGGCTCGCTTGGATGAATCTAAGAGTTTTGGAGAAGGCATGCCCAATAGCTCAATCATACAAGCCAGCTGGTCTCCTTCATCTTCTCCAGGTAAAAGCGGATAACCAGTGAGAAGCTCTGCTAGAATACAGCCCAAGCTCCACATATCTATGGGCATCCCATAACGAGCACCAAGGATGACTTCAGGTGCACGGTAAAAACGTGACTGAATGTAAGTGTAGACACGCTGATGCTCATAACAACTTGAGCCAAAATCAATCACTTTAATACCACTTCTACCTTGTTGCTTCAACAGGATGTTCTCTGGTTTAAGGTCACAGTGAATGATTCTGTTTTTGTGCAAAGCATCCAAGCACTGTAAAATTGAGTGGGCAAACTTGCGGACCAAAGGCAGGCTAAAGCCCTGAAACTTGTTCTTCTTAATTAGTTCATACAGGTTCATGCTCAGCAATTCAAATGTCATGCAGATATGGCTGCGGAATGTGAAGTTTTCCAACATGTGAATAACATTCATGTTGTTATCCTTATCTTGTTTCCGGAGATGCTCCAGGATCTTAATTTCTTCCGCAGCTTGGCGGTGGAAACGTTTTTCATTTCTCACCATTTTTAGTGCCACATGCTGATGCATCTTGTGATCGTAGGCCTTTACCACCTGCCCAAAGCTTCCTTTTCCTATAACTTTTAGGACTTCATACCTGTACGCAATATGATCATGCGGTACTTGTATATAAGACCCTTGGTCATCATCATACCCGCAATTGTTTGAACCACCGATCACACCTTGCCGCTTCTTTGCATTTGGACCCAAAAAGTATATTTCAGGGTAGCTAAAAATCTCATGATGCTCAAAAGCTGTTAATTTTTGCATGTATTGCTTCATTGCCTGCTCGGGTGTCATAACGGAGGCTTTCACCTTCCCTGTTCCATCTGCAGATTTTAAAGAGCTGGAGCTTCCTTGTCGTCTGTGAGCACTCTCTGCCTGTCTGTCCTGAACCACTGGCAATCCAGATTTGCCTAGCGTTGTAAGTCCGTTTGGCTGTGTCGTCAGAACCGTCCTCTTGTTACTATTATCTTCAAACAGCTGCTGAACCTGGATTTGTCCATGGCTACCAACATGGAGGTGCTCATTCATTGTGTGCTTACTGCCTCCAACCTAAAATCGAAAATAAATACATACCCAGTTAACAAGAAAGGCATGAACTCTACACTTCACCATTCATTCTGCAACCTGCCATCCTGCCTAAATCACTTCCAAACTAAGCATTTTCTTTAAGTCAGTTGTCTACAGATAATCTAAAAAAATACAGCACATATACTGTGATACTGCTAGATGATAGGAAGTTTTCCAGATCCTTGTTTCTCAAATGTCCCTTTCATGACTCTCTAAAATGTTTGCAACAACGCAATCACAGATGTGCTACCATGATAAGCTAACAATTCCTCCAAGAAGTTTTTAAGGCAACAGTCCTGTAACATGAAGTAGTATGCTTGAGAGGCATTAAATTAGACTTCACATAACATAGCAGCAGTTTTATTTATGCTGGAGATCAATATACAACGTGTGCTAGAACTTACATGGCTAAGGCTCTCCTAGACACCTATTCTCAAAAATCAGGATTTTAACTTGTTCCTCAATTTGCCGTATATCAAAAGCTCCAGATACAATTTTAAGCAATAAGGAACGTGCTGTGACATACACAAAGAGGAAAAAACCTGTACATTTCTGAAGTTTGAGAGATGCCACTCACTACTTGCAATTGAGATAGTCACTATTCAGCAACGCATTCAGATCAATGAAGCGTAAGCATATCCTTTAGCACTTTCCCAAACTAGTACTCTTAACAACTTTCAGCCAAGATGAGATTTGGGGCCTGATAGAGACTTGAGCAGAAAGAAAAATATTTGCCTTGAAGAACATGTAAGTAATGTTATTTTAAAGGAATAGAAAAAAGGATTAGTTGATTTTAGAAATTACATTTGTTCTTGACAGCTTTCACAAGAGAATAAACAGCAGCATTCAGCATTTTCTAGCAAAGAAACACTGGAAGTACTGGGGTGTGAAAACAACTATTGCTCAAAACTTGTTATTTTTAAGGAGAAAAGAGAAATTTACAATCATGGAACTTGGCACTAAAATAGCTGTCCTTAGAATTTCTCATTTGGTCTGAAGTAGAGGATAATTAGTTTGTCTTCTGCCTAGTCTTATATGAATGTGGGAAGAATTCCCCTGCTGTCTCTCCAGCTGATTCACCAGTTGTAACAGTTATGCCAAATTACTAACCAAAAGTTCACCGATACTGTCAGACAGATGATCAAACCAGGGTTGACAGCGCTTTTAATCTGAGACTTATTTTTTCTAGGTAGTTAAGGAAAACACATTCCCTGGTCACTTAAGGTTGCTGAAATGAAATCAGAAAACGTCAGTTGTGTGCTGTGGTATGAGGCAATGAAATCTGTGCTGCAACTGCTTCCTAATGAGAAAACCAGAACATGCAATGCAGACTTTAGCATACTTGGTGTTTCTGTTAAGGTATCAGTCTGATACGGAAGAATCATGGGTTTGTAAATTCAGTAACTTGTTCCCAAGGAGTAGGCAGCCGGACACCAGCGTCAGCTTTAGATATTTTGGAATTTGCAGTGCTGAAACTCACACAACTTAAGAACAAGAGCTCTCAGGATTTGCTTCTGCTGAGTTTGCTGCTCTTCTGATTCCATTTTGACTCAGTGTTGAATAATTGGTTCATTTTATTTCATCATTGCAGTTTGACTTTGTATGTTTATTTGCAGAGCAATTTGGGCTCACACTATCAAATTTGATCAATCTCATAGAAAACATTATCGCACAATTGCAATTCAGAGCAAAGGCATTTGCAACATGTAAGCACAGTGAAGATATACAGGATATTGACCTTAATTCCCTGCCTAGTTTGATATCTCAAAAGCAACAGGAATTAAATCATCAAGAGGACTTAATGAGTCTATTGTGCCTACAGGGAATTCCTTCAGGTCAAGTTTGAAGAGCACTGCAGTAGCAGTATCCTGAAGGTTGCCTTGATCCTCTATATTAACAGCAGTTACTGAAAAAAAGAAAATTTGGCTCCAAGAGCTGCTACATGACAGATCTCAGAAGAACTGGATCTAGTCACTAGGATGTGTCGGAGGTTCAGCACATGCAGTATTGCAGAACTGCATGAGAAATGAACAATGAAGCAGCAGAGTACCTGTGCAGACTACAAATATTCAAGCTAGGAAATTCCAGATACAAATGTTTCTTCTGCAGCACTGGCTGAACAACAAAGCAGAACGTATCTGGACAAACCAGGAGTAGACAATACTGACGTACAGACAATGAAGAAGAGCTAAGAGGAGAAAGCCATCTTTAAGAATTTCTGAACCCAAGTACTCATTGCCTCAGTTCACATCTTGACTTTTTTTTTTTTACTTCAATGATCTGTTTTCAGAGTTAACTATTTTCTGCCCTTCCTCAGCACTTCTTCTTTCCATAAATGTATTGGGGAATTCTTCAAACTTCATTTGTTTGCTTTGTATCAGGGCTTGGAAAAAACCCAAACATTTATCCACTCTCAGTAGGGACTAAAGAGTTCTTTTTCCTCAAAGCGTGTTTGTAAACAAATTCTGAAGCATAAACCATGTAGCTCTGCTTCCCGCACCTTCGGGCAGCCTCATGATTTCTCTTGCTGCTCTCAAGCTGGCTTTTTTTCCAAGCAGCAGAATGAAATTACCAGCATTATCCCAGCTTCACCCCAAATCCAAAGTGACCGGTTTTGCCAGTTTCAGTTGGCTGCTGCTTGGGAACGCAAATGCAGATGCAGACAGTAGCACTGGTTTTATTTGTGGAAGAAAAGACACCAAGTTAGCGCAGGCTCTATTCCAAAAGCTGTGGGGGAGAAGAGAGCTCACTTTTCTTTCAAAAATCCCAACAGGAGTATCAGAGCTATCAGGCACATCACATCCAGGAGAAATGGACTTTCCCCATCTCAGGGTACTGCCTGCACAGGAATCACCACCTCTTCTTTTCTTTCCAGCCTGGATGAGGGTTGAATTCTCACCAGCCCTTTGCTCTACCTATCTGTTTCTGGCTACTGGGTATTTGAGATTGCTGTCAAGTTTGGGCTTGCACTGCTTACAAGCTCCACTTGCTTCACCAGTGACGCTGTAAGTTCCCTGAACCACAACTAATGGGCTTGGGCAGCTACAAAGGACTACAGCCTTAGTGCAGTACCAAACTGTTCACAGTACACAGAAGCTCCATCAGGCTTTCATCCGAAACCATAAGCCTGAAGAGGTTTTGCTTCTGCAGATGTGCCTGTAAATTCCAGAACAAACAACCTACACAAGTGACAATCTGTATGCACTTATGCAACTTATTATGTATTTTATTGCCTGTGCTCAGACCCATCTACACTTTCTAAGATTTACATATTTTTATAGCACACAACTTCAAAAAACTTATTGATACACACATTTCTCCATGAAACATATTGAAATAACAGGTAAACCTGAACTCAAAGAACTAATCTTCCCAAATGTTCTGGCAACATCAATTACAAAACAGCAAATGCTACAATTTGGGGTTTTTTTTCCTCTCTCCGTAGCTTTTCATAACTTCAAAATCACCACTACAGTTTTGCTTGACCTTTGGTTTGCTCAGTTTATGGAAGTTGATTGCTATGATTGCATTCATCTAACCTTTGAAGTAAAGACACCAACAAAACAAAACAAAAAACACTTTTTGGGGGGTGATGGGAACATTTGGGGTTTGGTTTTTTGTTTTCCTTTCACAAACGAGTTTAGGGACAGAAGTAGAATCGTAACTTACTATGCTTAGACAACAGACGTGGAACAACATAGAAGTAGCATAAAACTAAGTCCCCCCTTCTAACAAGGAGGCAAAGACTGACAATTCCTTTGTGGTAACGCTCAGCCAATGCAACGGCCTCTACAAGACATTTCAAGGCCTTCTACAAGACTATGACTATAGGTTGAACACCACAGCAACATATGCCTCATTTCAAATTTATCTTCCAAAAGCACCACGACGTTATGCAGTTGTTATCATATTCCATCTCTGTAAAAGTCACTCAGTGTGATATTAGCACCCTATAAAATTATCCAAGACAGACACACTTCAGCTATATATTATAATTTTATTTTGAGCAAAACCCCCCAAAAATAAACTTTTGCTGACAATCAGAATCTAAAAAGGTTTATAAAATGAATCTTAATAACAAACTCTAACCATTCTACGATTCTATGATGGCCTGCTGAAAGACAGGACTGCACAGGATTAAAATGTCTTTATCTCCCATTACTTTGCATACAGGAGGACAAGGGGGAAATAGTGTTCCAAAGAAATAACTTAATTAAAGAACAAATTTCACACTATATCTCTCTCTCTTTACAGCATTTCTGAGCATGCCACTTTCAGCCCTACTGTGTCTAACATGCTAGAGGCATACGGTACCAGGTGTAGCATGCTTCACTGCCTATTTTGTTGACTACAGCCTGAGCAAATGTACAAAAGGCCTTTTTTTCCTTGATAAATGAATTCAACAGCATTCCTCTGTTCAGAACTAAAAATAGCTAATTAGTACGATAACAATAGTGCAGGATTATCATAATGGTTTTATTATGAGTATGGGTTTTATGCACCAAAAAAAAGACTAAGCCCTTGTCCTAAAGAGCTTGTGGCTCAACAAGAACTGAGAAAAAGCACACCATATGGATTTTTTGCTGCTGTCCTATCTAGTCCACATAAGCTCATTTTTTGAGAAGTTTATTTTGACTTTATATAGCAAGTATTTTCACAAATAGAACTATGCCTCAAGAGTGATACTGATTCATACATCTTTTTCTTCCAGTCAGGACTATGCAGCTGCAGTGAGTCTGAGCACTTCTGGGACACCCTGCATGTATTACACGTGTTGAAACCAAGAAGGACAGTCAATGCACACTAAATTGAACCCTTCACGTAAGCTGATGTGTACACATACAAGAGATGTGCCCAGATGTACTGCAGTCCTCATAGCACAGTATTCAACTGCTGGAGCTCAGATTTCAGAGCCCCGTACTAGAAGTTAAGATAGGTTCATATTCCCCCTAGTTACAGGTTTTATGTAGAAGAATCATCCAAAGAAATCTAGATATAGCAAAGTCCAGGTCATGACTGCATATCCACTCAAACGTGACAGCATCTCTGTGGCAATTTACTACATGAAAACACCACAATAGGAAGGTATTTTATTTGGGTTCACCTGCTTTAAAGCACTGTCCACAATAAAAAATTGCAGCATGTGACCCACCAGATCTTCACGTTAACAAAGTTCAAGAATCTCTGTTCCATTATAATGTAAATTAATTTTTTAAAATTTTTAAATTTAAATTTTTAAGACTAAGCTGAATAATTGATGCAAAAGTATATGGATAATCATCCTTGGTGGCAAAGAAAACAGGCTTGCTGTATGGAAATCTTAGAAATGGCTTGAAGAGGGAAGGCACTGCATCATGTACTGCAAATGGGTTGTTCTTACCGTACTAGACAGGAGGAGAGAGACTAAGACTGCTTTACTGCAAGAGAAACAGGAAAAGTGCAGAATGCAGGGATACATGCCAAATAAGAAAGAACAGAGACGGAGGTAGGCAGAAGACAGAGGGAAGAGTCTGGGAGAGGGACTCACAGATGGGTGGGGATTTACACAAGCAGAGCAGCAGGCAAACAAGATAATCTCTGCTGCAGCATGTCAAGTGGATGTAAGAACACCATAATGAAACAGGAGAGAGTGAACAGAAAAAGGTCCCCATCATCAAGGCAAGAACTTAAGGCTTCAAAAGAGAAAACAATGACTTTGGAGATGAAAATGAAGAGGACAAGGGGTTGGAAATTAATTCGTGTTTTCACCATGAGCCAAAAAGATAGTCAGGGATGGAAGCAAACACAAATAAGCCTAAGATGAAGCCACAATTTATTTATTCTTTAAATAAACAAAACCTTTCCCTGGTACAATACACAATAGTCTGCTTAGCAACAAAGGTTGCTGTGATTGCAGAGACTGCAGTCAAAACCTCTGCCCTGTTACATGAAGTCTCTGTAAAACATCTTCCCTCCTCTAACCATGCTCTCCCATGCTATTACATTCTACCAAACAATGAAACGTCATTTGAAAGTAGGAAACAAGTTTCACTAGAGGCTAGATCACACAACTCACTGCTGCAAGAAATATGACAGGTAGTAGATTTCTCCTCTGTCTGAACTAAAAGAAAAACTTTTTAGCTTAAACAAAAACCTATCTTCAATCTCGGTCTCTCTTCACAACTAGCATACATACACTGCATGCGCTTACATTCAGCCACCATCAAGTTCAACTGCTTAAGCAAACTATACCTTCTGAAAGTCTGAAACACAGAGAGAAACACTCTCAATTTTTAGCTATTGCAGAAGTCCCATAGATAAAAACAGGAATGAAAACATAATAAGCAAATGAATACAAAGAAGAAAATGGTTTAAGAAAATTGAAATGTTCCATTTTAAATAGGTCTGATTGGAGGAAGTAGTGAGATGCAAAACCAGTGGTTTCAGTCAGTGTCAGCTAAGGTCAGTAGGCCTTAAGTTGAGAGAACTATCCCATAACAGATACAGCCCTTTTTCTAGGTTAAAATCCAGCATTCTGATGTCACATCTGATCCTTACCACAAAAAGTTATGTTAGCCAACCACAAAATAACTACTTACAAAATTCAGAAAGGCAGTCAGAGGTATTACTGTAATAGTACCCAAGGCTAAATAAATACTGTAGAGCAGGCTCTGTATCACAAAGGAAAGGCAGAGTTTGCCACAGTCAGAATCTAGAGGGACGTGACACAGCAATATAATGCTTACCATCCCTGCGTGCTTCCCTAAGTATTTCATCTCTATGTGTGTATATATACATACACATGCATATATGCTCTATATATATATATAAAGGCATACACACGCAACAGTATGTGTATAAAAATACTCAAAACAGAGAAATGTAACACTTGAACACCCCTTGCATGCTTTCATGAAGACTTCATCTTTATATATGCACATATATACACACAGACACTATTTATAATACACACATATAAATCTATGTATAAAAATACCAAAGTTCTGTAGTCCCAAAATTAGTAAGTAGTCCTAGATATATAGCTGGGCTACCACGCTTTCACAAATCCTAAATTAAGTCTGGGCTCTGTTACACGTGGGCGCTCTTACTTGTGGGCTCATCTGTATGTGCAGTTTTACGATCCACGTCCAGGATGTTTGTATTACGCTCCTTCTTTTCTGTTTTTATAAAAAAATTAACCTGCTGCCCCAATTCTAAAAATCAACGAGCACTTAACTGGTATACAAATGTGAAAAACTTGGCTGTTGATACCAATGAACAATTCAGATATATACCCTAGCTACATAAATATACAATGATGTTGATCTCAAGTACGCAGCTCCACCTTGAATTTACAGAATATTCATCATTCCTTTTGAGATCATCCTACATACGCTGATTTTTTTAATTTAAGCCAATTCTTTCTATAAATGGATTTGAATAAGATGCTTTTACCCCTGAAGCTACATAGAAAGTCACTGAAACACTATTATCTAAATGCATAGTTTCACCTTCCACTAGTCCATAATCACATTACCATTTAAAGCTCTGCCATATGTTTACAAAGATAGTATGTGAGCATCCATGAAGAACTCATTAATTCTAAGAAAAGTATGCCATCAGTGCCTTTCAGGGTCAGCATGAAATCCTTCATAATTTAAAAGGAAATGTATGCAATAACAATTTCAGATATTTAGTGTTAACATGACAGCATATAGACCCCTCTCTCTACTCTGTCATGCCTTCAGGACAGAGATACCCTCTCTCATCCATATATAGTGGCATTCTTGGGAAGTTCCATTCCTAGTAGATTAACTAGAAGTGGGAGATAGTGTGAGATATCACAGAAGCAGAAAATAACATCCTTTTCATGCCATCAGTGCTCATTTCTTTAGGAAAACTAGTGCAGCAATAAAGTCCGATTCATCCAACCATTGTCCCCAAGTACAGCCATAGCTATTTCTAGGGAAGACAGCAATCAGCCTGAGCTAAGCAGACATGTAAGGGGAGAGTAGCCTTCATTTTTCACTACAGCTCATGAGACCCTCTAATCACAGTGACTAACCTCATTGCCAAAATAATGTCATCTCAAAAAATGCATTTACCAGAACAGCTCCTCTGTGCGAGTGTGGAAGATCAAATTTGTCACTGAAAATGAGACACAAAACCAGACTGAAGAGGGGCTGGGGAAGGAGAAAGCTGCTTCTCAGCCACAGGGTCTCCAGCCTCACAACAAACCTGCACATTTGACAGGAGACTGTAGAAATTAAATGCAATTTCCTTAAACACCAAGCACGTCACTAGGTTGGACGCGGCGTCCGCGGCTGCGGGGCCCCTGCCCTCTCCAGCCCCGGGGTGCCCGTGAGGGCCCGGTCTCGCCTCGGGAGACACCCGGCGAAAGGCGAGCAGCGACGGCGCGGCAAGGCTCCCCGTCCGGACTCCCGCCTCCTGGTTAGTAAGAACCATCTTCTAGAACTGTATCCACATTTTTCAAATTTTTCTCACTTGCAGAGTACTTCCACTGCAGAAATGTGAAAAAATTTCCTGTCTTATAGGACCATGCATCTGCAGCTCAGGCCCTTTTCAGAGTCAGTTCTTCAGTATATGATTATTCTGTATACAGGATAGATTTAAAAATAGTCCTTTGACATTATTTCAAAGACAATTCAATTCAAAGTGAAGAAAGGCTCTAATGCAAAATATACAAATGCCTCTTGAAAGTGTTTGTGGCTTTTTTGCTGTCCTTCAGCTTTTCCTGTGCAGTAAAGAATGTTTCTATTTGCAGTTTTTGGAAACCAAAATCTTGTTGATTTCTTTTTATAACCAAAATAATTGTATGTCTGATATGCCAATAATGTAAAAAATTCCAGGCAGCTCTCTGTATTTATGTCACCATAGCACCAGTAGTCCTGGCAGGGGCTGGGAATTTTTACAGTATGTGCTATACAAGCAAAGCCTTCAAAAAGGATCTGCTCTGGGGCTTGTTTCTCTACCACTGAAACCCGGTTTTCTGGCATATTTCCTCCGCAACGAGAAAAGATGAGATACTGAGACAGCTGTCATCATACAATTAGTGAAGACCAGTCTTAAATCACCAGGTGAAGGCTTAACTTGTCCAGTTACAGTAAGGTAAAACCAACAGGATCTTGTTTCTGCTAGGATTATGTGTAGAGATAGGAGGGTGCATTGAAGGTAGCTACTGATGTAAAAACACATCCTTTTTGAAGTACCGATGTAGGAGCAATGTAATTCCTCAGTAGAAGAGCTATTGTCATGTAAAGTTGAACCAGTCAGTGGATGCTTGGGTGACAAGAGATGACAACATCTAGACAGGAGATGAAAGCCTTTGTGGGAGGAAGAGGGAGTTCATTGCTGGATTCACGGGGAGCTCAAAGCAGCTCCGCTTTTGAACTCTTTCCACTTATCTAGATATTGCACAAGCTTCACCTTAAAAAAGAAAGACACTATAAATCTAATACTTCAACATTCTGGAGGTGAATACGGTATAAGAGCACAGGGGAACACACCAAACGGGCACAGTGAAGCCCCCCCTCTGCCCTAGACTTCTCATCACTGGTCAATGAAATGCCAGAAAGGAATCCCCTGATGACAGAAGAGAGTGTGACAAGAAATTGCCACTGTCCTGTGTTTGGTGCTTTATTTTACCTCTCCTCCATGATCCTGTAAGTCTTCTTAAAGACCCTGACTGGCACACAGCGGGCAAAGTGGCCCGTCTCCTTTTTTCTTTTTTCCATATAGATGAAGCCTAATTTCTAACACAACATCTTTGTCTGAGAATTTTCATTGCCAGGCTCATCATGTGGCATTACTAAAATCTTTTCGTTTGGATTCATTTAGTCTGTGTTTAACTTTGCCATATATGCTTAAGTAACAAGCTGAGCAGAATGTTTGTTACCTTGGGCAACCCAGAACTGACTGCTGGTAATTTGTTTTTATTCTTTAGCATTTTGTTCCTAAACAGAGCTAAGCAAACAATTAGCAGTAGACAATTCCTCCATCGCCCGCCCAACCGCCGCCGCCCGCCCAACGGCTGCCTCGCGCCGGGCCGTTGGTCACCCCACACACACACCCCGGGGGTCACAGCCATCTTGGCGGCCGGCGGGCAGCCCGCGCCTCGCCCCGGCACCCCCTCAGCTCCCCGCGGGGCTGGGGCAGGGGCGGGCCGGCCTCCCGGCCCCGGCAGCGGCGGTGTGTGCGGCCATGGCGGCGGGGACATCGGCGTGTGGGGGAAAGCGTGTGGGTGGGTGTCTGTGTGTGATCGCCAGCTCCTCGGGCAGCGGGGGGTCACTTGTGGAGGGCAAAGATGGCACCGTGGGAGGAAGGGTAAATGCATCGAAACGTTAAATTGGGATGAAAACTTAAAAAAGGGAGAGAAAAGAGCTTTGGGGGTTGCCCTGGAGTCGTAAGTGGCTCAAGCCAGAATGAGGGGAATCAGGGTGTGTGTAGGGGGGTGGCGTTATTTGCCTTGTTTTCCAAACTGTACAACGTGCCTTGTGGAGTACAATGCTTCGAATTCCTGGTTTGTCAGTTTGAACGTCATTAGAGCCAAAAATAGCTATCTGAACATTTGCTCAGCTTGGGACAGCGCTGAAATGAACTCTCCTACCTACACTCTACCCTTTTTGAAGTCTGTACAGACCATGCATATTTTCCCTTTTTGAAACAGCTGGTAGATAACGCAGACAGGCCGCCCTTCATCCCCTTCCACAGAAGAAAAGGCAGAAAAATTAATCTCCCTTTTTCCTATGCCTTAAAAAAACAAAAATTCATCGCTGCTGCCAAAGACTTTGCCTCTTCCAGTGCCACAGATACACGCATAAACAAAGACATTTCCTGTACTGGTACAAAGAAATAAACAATTTCCCTAACTGCTCCTGTCACACAGAGAAAACAATCATACCTTCTCTCGCCCACACCCACCTAATCTTTTCCCTTCACTGCAGCAGAAAGAAAGCTTTGTCTTCCTCAACATCCCTCCAGATGTCCACAGGCACTCCCACTGCCCCTTCCCTTGGCTGCCAGGTGTAGAAATGCTGTTTTCTGATCGCTCTTCAGTATTTTCCCGTCATTTTCACAGGCAGCGCGTGCACATCAAAAGCCTCAGAGTAACAAACGCTGTGATAATATTCTATGTGAGATACCTTAAATATTTAAGGAATGGTCAAGAAAGAGATACTCTTCTAGTCAGTCCAAGGAGGGAACAGGGAAGAAACTTGTTCACATTCAAGCTAGATGCGAAAAAAATGTAGTTGATATCAATTATCTTTTTGTAGGGCTTGCAGGAGTTCTTACTTCATCTTATATGATGTGTCCCCTGACTGTCAAAGTCACAGATGGCTTCCTGCACGTTCTGGGATTAGTTACACCTAAACATCGAGATAAAAGAAAGGCCGTTAAGTGTCCTGTTTCAGCCCCTTTCCCATCAGGTGTGCCATTCACAATATGCCTTTCACAGTTTGTTCCGTCCTGGACCACTATGAAAAACTATGTGAAAAAAGGAGTTAGCCTAGCACATCATAAACAATCTTTTAAGTCAGTGGAAACACAGTACATTGGTACCTGTCCAGCTACTCTCTTTCTAAAATTGTGTTCGTTGTCAGCTTTCAGCATTAGTCTTTAAACCTCGCAGTGGGCTTGAGCCTGCCTGGATGCCTCTCTTTTTCTCTCTCCATCTTTCTCCGTCTGCAATCCATCCTGGCGGCTGCTGTCAAGGATAGTACATGATGGGAGTCTGAAGTGGGACTCGAGGGCAAGCCCATCTTGATTCCTTCTGAATGCAGCACAAGAAACTTCAATTTAAAAGCCTCTTTCATGCAGGATTTAAGTTGACAAAGAGGAAGAACATGCTAATATAATTGTAAAATATCTTGGCTCCTCCTTGGGCCTGTAACAGCCTTCTACAAAGTCATAGTTGCAGATCTACAAAGAGAAGAAGAAAGCAAAGCCTAAGTACTCAAAGACAAAGCAAAGATTAATTCTTTCATGCCAAGTGTTACACTTAGGAATCTGAACTATGTCCCATTGAGTGTTCACAAAACTTTACTCTTTCTGGTACTGGCAAACTGAATGTATCAGCACTTTGCAGATCAGTACTACACAAGATGAGATCAACAGACTTCAGTTCTTGGGGCTCAGAAATTTAGAAAGGAAAGTGAATCAGGGTTTTCTTGATTCTTTTTCCTGCTTCCTCGGCTTTTATTACCCAAAAGTGTGAACTAACCTTTAATGACAGATTAGTCTTCCCTTTCTTGCAAACAAATCTACTGGGTGTTTATGAGTGTCAGACTACTTGCAAGGGCCTTGTAAGGTAACGTCATCAAAGCACTTGTTTTTAAGAGAAATATCTGAAAACTTTATTTCCAGATGGGTACCCAAACAGTCCTGCAGACTGGAAAGTGCCAACTCCGTTGGGACACAGGCAGTGCTGGTTCTGCACCATAGTGGTCACCCGTGGAAGGAGGTGGAGAGGTGAGCAGTTGGAGGTGCAGGTGAGATCAGAAGGCTTCTTGCTGTGGCTGCCTTGAAGAGGCTCAGGTTGGGCTGTTACAGGTATCATCCTCCTGTGATAAACTGTACAAGATGTTCTAGAACAAAAATTAGCAACTATTTGGTAAAAATAAAGTGGTTAAATCACAGCCATTGAATGAGAAAATTAAAATTCATTTAAAAAAAAAAAAGAACTAGAAGTCTAGAATAAAACATGTTATCTGTAAAACCTTGTCTAAAAGTAAGTCTGCCCACATAGTACATTAAAATGCATTATTGAAGATAATATGCTAGTACAGCGAGGAGAGATACAGAGCATGCTGCGTTTCTTGAGCCATTCAGTCGGGGCCCTTGTGACCAAGACAGATAGTCATTCCAAGCAAACTGTGAGGGATTTCTGGGGTCTGTTTTGCCAGGCTGCCTTGGGACCCACTTCATATCTAGTTGTCCTGTGTTAGAGCACTGTACCTCCTTAGCGTCACTGTAAAATCGCCCATGCGAGTCGCCTTACCTCTCCAAAGTGGATGCTGATTAGGGTTTAATTATATGAGGCTTTGGTATGTAGGTGTAGGGCAAG